AACAAAAAATGTTTGATTTGTTAATTTTGGTTTGAAAATGAAATTTTGATGGAACACCCTGTATTCTCCAGTTCTTTAACATCTGCGAGAAGAATTCCAGACTCGTTCGGATGCATCTTCTTGCGTAACGAAGCGGCAGGAAGTAGCGAGCGGAAGAAATGCTTCGGAAAGAAGAAGAAACAGAAGATGAATACGAGGGAAGAGGAATAAGGTGTGCAGTTATAATTTGTGGAGGGAGTTTGACTTTAACTTGCTAACGACGCGGAATGATGATGCACGAGTTGCTTGGTTTCTTCAATCCTAGTCAACTTCAGTTCGTTCACACGTTAACTGACAGAATAAAAATAGTGTGATAAAACTACATATTGCAATTACGATAAAATTAATATATCAATTAAACACTCTTTGGAGCATGTGACTACACCTCTTTTTAATTTTGAAGTACCCAATTCATACAAGTTTAATTTAGAAAATTTTACATTTTTCAATTTGAATTAATGTGAGGAATACAATTTTTATGTAAGGGATGTTCAAAGGAAGAAATTGTGCATAATAAGTATTAACATTAATTAACATTAACATTTTTGAACCATATATGAATGTCACTTAAATTTCCATACGAATCTATCACTTATATTATGAAGGATTTGTTCGCTCACCTAATTAAAAATATTTGTATTAACTAGAGCTACGAAATATAACAAAATATTATGAGAATATTTGATAAAATTTATTAAAACTCAGAATGCTATCTAATCAAATTTTCAACTGCTTCAGTCTGCTAAACAATGTGTAAAAATATCTTAGGTGCGAATCTCATATGTAAAAGTTTAAGTCCATTGTCGAAACACATATCTTACACAATTCGTATACTATTCCAAAGAAGCCAGTTGATTTATAGTGTATGAACACCGTACGACTTCTGAAACGAACGTTTGTAGAGAACGTGTTAACGGGCTACCGTTAAAAGATCAGAACGAACAATTAACGCGTCTCCAGGGCAAATTAACCAAGCGGAAATCTTCGCGTTACCGTACACGCCCGGTTTTATAACCGAAAACGTGCGAACATTCTCATGGTTTAGTAGAGTTTCAGTTTGCAAAGGAGGCCTTATATGATCGCATTGTCTGGCGCGCGAACAACGGAATAATGGAGGAAACGAGGAGAACCATAGCTGGCAGAAGCGACCCGAACGAAGAAGGGGGAAAGAAACGAATGAAAAGTGGAGGAGGATCGAGGATCCGATGGAAAGTGAGAACACGTTAACCTAAACGCCATAGCGTTTCATTTACATAACCGTAATCCTACTTAGCGGCGGATGCTTAATTCCTCTCGTACATTTTCGTTTCGCCGTCGTACCGGAATTTCGACGGAACACTTTCGCCGACGTTTTGAAATTGGATTCGCAAATCTGAAACACGAATCTCGAGGGCTCAGAATCGAGATTATAACTGCTGGAATAAACAGAGGGGTGGAAAAACACCGTGATCGAGATTAACGGTGTACCGGATGCTTGGGAATTTTGTGAAGTGTCCTTCAATGTGGAAGGAGCCGTAATCCGTTGGATGCGATGCTCCTTTTGTCAGTGGATGCCTGTCATAATTTGTTAATATGCTTGCATTACAAAATCTTCTTACCTTTTGATGTAGCAATACATGGTTTGATATTGGAATATTTTATTGGATACATGATTTTCAATTTTATATTGAATTTTGAGAAAAATTGACATTTTTATGTAAGAGTTGAGGAATAACTTTTAGAAGTTTTGTCTTGAAGCTTGAATTTGGAAATTTCTTTTTAAAGATTTTGTAAGAGATACAACATAAAAATTGGTGCTTAAAGTTTGAAAAGTATTGGATTTAAAAATTAGTAAGTCTGAAATGTTAAAATTAAAATGCTAGACATTTTTTAAATTTTTAAAGTGAGAATTTTGAAAGTAATTTATAAAACTTAAACATTAACTGCTCAAAATAGTTTAATACATTTAGAAGTTTAAGACAGTAATTTTAATAGTTTAAAAATTGAATTGAAGCTTAGAAATAAAATAAAGAAAAAATAAATTGCAATAAATTAATACAAAATAAATAAAAAATAAAAAAAATAAATTAATGAAAAATAAATAACAATAAATTAATACAAAAATAATAAAAAATAAATGAAAATAAAGTAAGTAAAAATAGAATTATCTATATCACATAATTATTTAAATTACCACAATCAGAATAACAAAAAATATACAAAATAGAAACTAAAAATGTAACTCGAACTACTGAAAAAAAAATGCAGGTCAAAGGAAAAAAAATGAAAGAAATCCTTCTATTTACAAACAGTCGTATATTTACACTCTTAACATAACTCCGTAAATACACGCATGTATAAAAATTACAGTCGTACGCGTCACATTCAACGAATGACAAAATCGATCGCGTAACACGTTAATTACCACCGTGCAAACAACTTCAGTACGACTCTTTAACAACATTGTCATTAACTGTCGCTATTTTTACTATACAAATTGACAAAAATTTGAAGTTTACAATCGCACCGACAATTACTGGCAATTTGTTAACACTTTGACTGCCACGTCCACATGTGTGAACTTTCCATATGAATCACATGTTCGCTAACCTAATTAAATAGGTTATATAACGAAATCATGCCTGAAGCTATGAATAATAAATATAACAAAATCTTCATAATAAGATCTGTTAAAAAATATGTAATAAAATTTTGTATATTTTCAGTGTAGCAGTCAACGAGTTAACGTGAACGATGATCGCACAGTTACTATATAAAAGAATAAATTAAATTACACATACATATAAAACAAAAAGGAAAGAAGAACAATAGGAGGTGGAGTTAGAAGGAAATTGACATGTTTTATGGCTTGGCAGCTTTGTAGCTGCGTGTTTCTTAACAACCGAGCATCTCCCTAAGCTTATATACGCTCTACTTATTTTAACGTATCCGCAATACACCAAGTTATGCATAACCATTCGACCTGGCAGCACTATAAAAGTACAAGAAGTTTCAAGATTACTCTGAATACGAGACGTGTGCGTCGTTGATAACGCAACGGTGTTAAACCCGGCGTCGATGAACGGCGCCTGCCTTGCATGCGAAACGCGTTAACATTTTATTACCTATATTTCTGGCCCAGGTTATATATTTCAGCATGTGATCGCATAGGTTATCAACCGGACGACAGAGTTTTACTGCTTCTCTATATATGACTCATGTATCTTTGGGTACTTTTGCCTCAAAATGCTCTCACTTTGAACTCTTTCTATTGCGGGAAATTACTGTACAGGTTCAGTATTCGAACAGCATTGTAATTCGCGAATGAAGTTCTTTCTTTATACAATTTTGAAAGAATATTGACCATAATTTTTTGGTCAGGGTGCCTAGTATATAGTTTTCGAAATAACAGACGCTAAATAATTTTTTAGTCAAAGTGCCTAGTAATATAGTCTTCAAAATAACAGACACCAAATAATTTGTTAGTCAAAGTGCCTGGTATATAGTCTTCAAAATAACAGACACCAAATAATTTTTTAGTCAAAGTGCCTAGTAATATAGTCTTCAAGATAACATACACCAAATAACATCAAATAAAAAGAAATAAGTTCAATTTTCTTCTCAAATTCAATTTCATCGTGATACCTTAAATATGTTAAATAAAGTAGCCTAAAGTTTAATCATCAACTGTGGAACAATCTACGTAACTCTCGAACACAGTGCTGTCCAAATACCAGTCATAAATACTATTTTCCATATTGCTCGTTTCAAAAGTATCGACACAAACAAGAAGTAACACTCATAGTAAATTATCCGAAAGTGAATTAAGTAAGAAAATCTCATTCTCGGTGCATAACTGGTATAACGTATTCCATAAAGAGCAACGGACTAGATATATGCATATCTACCTGTTATCGTCACAAAGGTATGCAAAACCGTGTGTGTATCGCCCGCAGACTCGAGCAATGCGTTTCACTCGAAAACAAGATTTTTCCCTGAAAGGTAAGCGACATTACTCGAAGCTGTTAAACGAGGTTTTGAACTTTCACCAGGGTGAAGGTTCGCCACGAATGAAAGTGGTTCGGCCGTTTGCGAGCCAGATGAGCGTTGCAAAATATTGTAACCGATCAAAAGCGATTCTAAGTTCGCGATTGTTCCTGAAAAACGGCATCGATACCTCGTTCGAAGCTTGTTTCGCCGAAGAGTTTTCGAGAGAGAAACTGTTGCAATCGATGAAACACTTCACGATTTTGGACCTTCCGGGTTTCGCGATAAACATCTGTTTTTTAACGAACGAATTTAACGTTTGGGTTATGTAATTATTGTTTGAGGAACGAGAGTTTGTTGAGCAAATTGGACGCTTTGCTTCGTAACCGACCATCGACGTATTAGCCAACAAATAATTATCGTTCTCGCTTCCTGGATGAGCGAATAGGTTACGTAGGTTGTAACTTGTTGTCTTTAATTTCGATGAGAAAGACAACGTGTATTTAGGAGGCTAATCGTCGATTGAGGAATGCAATTCTTGCGTTGCGAAGAATTGTTGAATTGATGAAGAAATATTGGATCGTTGAAATTAGTAGAAATTGTGGGAATGCAACTTGACACCTTGGGAACATTGGAACAACTAGAATGTTTTTAGGGTGTGTTACTGAACGTGTGAAAGTATTACACTAAACAGGATCTATTGATTTTTGTGGGGTAATAGAATTTGAGCATTTAGAAGTTCAGATATTTGGGAATTGAATAATTGAATAATTGAACAACTGAACAATTAAATAATTGAATAATTGAACAATTGAACAATTGAACAATTGGACAATTGGACAATTAAACAATGGAACAATGGAACAATACTTGAATACTTGAATAATGAAATAATGGAATAATTGAATCTTTGGATAACCGAAAAATTGAATAATTTCTGGACTTAAGAATGTTAAAATTGAAATTGAAGAATTGAAATACAGGATTTAGGAAAAGAGAAGTTCAAAAATTTAGGTATTTAGCCATTTAACCTAATCCACCCTAATCTCCACCTAGTTGCGCCAATGGTGATAGATAAAAAAAGAAATTACTGAAATTTTCTACATACCTACGCCAAATTGTTACTTTTGAAATTACATTTACATCGGCCTAAGAAATGTCCCCAATTCATGCCATCATTCACAAAAATGTTAATTCACCTTGATAACAATTATGTACTCGAATGCCATTAATTTTCAATCAGACAATAATAAATAGAAGTAAAATTAGGCTAATCTTCACTTTTTCTATAATTTCTTTAGAAACCAATGATAGACTATCAGTTCACAATAACGGACTATCAATAAAGACACAATGATGGACTATCAAGCAGTTCGCAATGATGGACTATCAATCAAATCACAAAGGATGATTTCAATGAACATAATTCTCAACCTCGAACCTGAGGAACGAATTATGAAATATTTTACGATGGCTTATCCTTTCCATTCGAACAGCTAAGACAATCCTTTTCATGACACTCTAAAGATGTTAAGAAGATTTCTCTTTACTTGCACCTTTCGCTTCTTCCGAAACACCTACATTCTCGCTTTTCGTTACTGACCTGGTCTCCTTGCGGGAGTCACTGTATTGATTATTGAAGAAAAGAGCAACAGCTTCCTTCTTCGAAGCGTCTGCTTTATTAAATTCACTCTCGCTTCTGTCGCTGGCCAATTCACCAATATCCTTTTTCCCCGATCCCTCCTCGACCGTGATGTAATGTCCCTTAGGAATGTCGGTGTTCCTAGCATCCGGTAAATTACTGAACACGTGTTGCAACGACTGTGCTTCGGGATGACCTTGAATCTGAATCTGCCCTTGCTCCGGTTGCTCAATGGCCGCCAGTATATCTTGCAGGAGTCCATTGGATAAAACCTGATCATGTCTGATGCTGCCATCCGAGTTCTCAGTGCCTAGTCCTCCATCGGCAGCCTGAATCTGCAGCATATAAGTGCCCTTGGAACCCTGAACTTCGAATCCGTCACCTCCCGTGGCCGATAACCCTTTGGCCAGAGCCACAGCTTCGTTGCTTTCAGGATTGTTCAAGAGCTGACTGATGTCCACCTCGTTCGAGCCAAGGTTCTTAGCCTGACCGAATCCTTGGTGGCTCAAGTTGGCGGTCAAAGCCTCCGCCCTTATTCCAGAATCATGAGAACTCGAAGAGAACGAAGACTCCTGGAGCTGCGTCACAGGAGGAGCCGACAACACGTTAGCCACTTCGGACGATTGGCTGTGGTCGCTGGCCAAAACGTTGTCCGAGTGGTCGGAACTTGTGTGAACTCCTACCGGATTACCGTAACTGTCCTTCAAATTGGTCTTCGGCTGCTCGTAGCTGTGCAGATTCAGCTGACTGACGGACTGAGCTAGACCCAAACCTCCCAGACTGTTCGACAGTGAGCCCACCTTGAAATTCTGACCCAGATCGGCGGACAAGGACTGAGTAGGAAAAGCGGCGCCGAAACTGTGAATCTGGGGTCCTGAAGTGGCCAGGTAGCTCCCGGTATCTTCGAAACTGTACTGCGAGCCAGAACCCGTCTGCTGGAAACCGCAATCGTGACCTCCACCTGTCGACAGCGGTAAACTCACCACGGGGGTGCCATAGGTGGTGGTTATGGTATTACCGATACTGTCGTACAGGTTGTTCCCGAAGCCGGTGGAGGTAGAGACGAAAGAAGAAGCCGGACCAAAGTTTGGAGCCCCGTATGTCAATACCGGTGCCGGGGTGTTGAAATCGCTGAAGGACAACGGTGTGCCATAGTGAGCGTTCGGAGCAGCCATGGGCGAATTTGAGCCGAGGCTGTGTAACTTGTTGAACGCTACTGGGGCGCTCAGGCTGGGCAACTGCTGCTCGAACGACAGGGTCGAGACGAACGTCTTCGGTGATTTCAGGTCGGAGTGTCTGGGTGGCGGCAGGTAGCGATTCAGGTTGCTCAATAGTCCGCTAGGGATGGGTTCTTTGAACTTGATCGGCTCGCGATTACGAGGCGGTATCAAAGAGCCTGGAGGTGGTGGAGGGGATCTGAAGGACCCGTGAGGACGATAGTGATGTATGTTCTGCTTAAAGAGAGATCCACCGTGCAAACCGAAGGAAGAGAACGACGACGCTCGACCTGCTTCTGCGAGAGGGTACGGTCCATTGGGTGAATACGAAGACAGGGGAGGGAAATTGTACGTATCCAACAAAGGAGGTGGAGGCAGAGGTATTCCGGTCTCAATGGAGTTCAGTTTTCCAAAGGATACACTCGTCAATGGAGGACCATAACTGTTGGCCAACGCGGCCAAAACGTTGTCCGAGTGGTCGGAACTTGTGTGAACTCCTACCGGATTACCGTAACTGTCCTTCAAATTGGTCTTCGGCTGCTCGTAGCTGTGCAGATTCAGCTGACTGACGGACTGAGCTAGACCCAAACCTCCCAGACTGTTCGACAGTGAGCCCACCTTGAAATTCTGACCCAGATCGGCGGACAAGGACTGAGTAGGAAAAGCGGCGCCGAAACTGTGAATCTGGGGTCCTGAAGTGGCCAGGTAGCTCCCGGTATCTTCGAAACTGTACTGCGAGCCAGAACCCGTCTGCTGGAAACCGCAATCGTGACCTCCACCTGTCGACAGCGGTAAACTCACCACGGGGGTGCCATAGGTGGTGGTTATGGTATTACCGATACTGTCGTACAGGTTGTTCCCGAAGCCGGTGGAGGTAGAGACGAAAGAAGAAGCCGGACCAAAGTTTGGAGCCCCGTATGTCAATACCGGTGCCGGGGTGTTGAAATCGCTGAAGGACAACGGTGTGCCATAGTGAGCGTTCGGAGCAGCCATGGGCGAATTTGAGCCGAGGCTGTGTAACTTGTTGAACGCTACTGGGGCGCTCAGGCTGGGCAACTGCTGCTCGAACGACAGGGTCGAGACGAACGTCTTCGGTGATTTCAGGTCGGAGTGTCTGGGTGGCGGCAGGTAGCGATTCAGGTTGCTCAATAGTCCGCTAGGGATGGGTTCTTTGAACTTGATCGGCTCGCGATTACGAGGCGGTATCAAAGAGCCTGGAGGTGGTGGAGGGGATCTGAAGGACCCGTGAGGACGATAGTGATGTATGTTCTGCTTAAAGAGAGATCCACCGTGCAAACCGAAGGAAGAGAACGACGACGCTCGACCTGCTTCTGCGAGAGGGTACGGTCCATTGGGTGAATACGAAGACAGGGGAGGGAAATTGTACGTATCCAACAAAGGAGGTGGAGGCAGAGGTATTCCGGTCTCAATGGAGTTCAGTTTTCCAAAGGATACACTCGTCAATGGAGGACCATAACTGTTGGCCAACGCATTGGCTGAGATCTGAGACAACGACAAATCGTTTCCTAAATTCTGAAACGCATGAGTGTCTCCGAGCCCAAGATTGAAATGTGGCGCACTATCCAGCACCGGTAACTTCAAACCGGAGAGGTCTGACAATGACGAGGATGTGGGCAATATTTCAAATCCAACCGTTTTGATGACAGGCAGAGGTTCAACTTTAGGTACCTCGTACTGTAAATTAACCTGGCCAGACACGAGCTTGTCGGGTAGGTCCTTCTTCGGCGGGTTCTGGTTGTCGTTATGAAAAGGTTCGTACTCGGGCAACGATGGCGGTGGTAGTCCTGCGTTTTCATTAGAGTTCGACTTCACGGAACTCTTCAGATCCTGAGCTTCAGGGTTGTGTATCGGAACCCCGTAAGAATCACTGGGCACATTTGGATTGTCCGCGGCATGCACATTCGTAGATGACTGGTGCACGTCCACGGAGTGGTGTACGTCTGATGGAGGTCCATAGGTGTTTTGAGGTCCCTGCTGATTGCTCAATCCGGCAATCGGTTGCCAGCCGTCGTATTTGATGTCGGGTGGCGTAGGCGGTGCTGGGACACCCGGTGGAGGAACCGGTGGAGGAGGTGCGTACAAATCACCAGACGGTGGTCCATACTGAGATTCGGGCAGCGCTGAAATCGGTGGCGGCGGTGGTCCATATTCGTCGTTTGATTGAGCGTTAAACTGAACGGCAAGTTTTTGCGGGGGCTCGTAGGTCAAGGGCAGTGAAATAGGAGGCTCGTGCACCGGTTTCGTTGCCCTATGACCCGAAGACACCGCGGCGATGTATTGATTAGATATGCCAGAAGTGAATTTCAATGGAGGACCATACTGAGGCTTCGGTGGCCTAAACGAGCCGAACGAATATGGTGGGCCATAATGTTGCTTCGGTGGCCCGTAGTGGAGTTTCAGCGAGCCGAAGCTCAATTTTGGGGGCAAAGGAGACAAAGGAGGACCGAAACTTTGCTTTGGTGGACCGTAGACTGGTTTAATGTTTCGTGGAGGTCCGTATGAAGACAATGGTGGCCCATACACCGGCAACGATATCTCCGGTGGCGGCGGTGGATATATAGGCGTAGGTCCTTGATCGCCTACCAGTTCCGGTGGACCATAAACTGGCGCTGGTCCTTTCAAGTTAGATCCAATCGGTGGACCATAATCGTCAGCTGGTGGACCGTAATTGCTTATCCTATCATCGGCTTTTATTTCGTTTGGTTTACTTTCTTCGTTCTTGATAGGTGTCTGCGCCTTGTTTACCACTGCTTGAACATGGTGTCCGATCAGCAGAATACACAGCAATGCGATCATCTGAAATCAAAATGAAACTTCTCTTCAACTTTCGTTCGGTTTTAATGATAGTGAGTTTGGTTATAATTGAATACCGTGTCACAGTGCGATGAAAGTGAGACAGGTGATTATTGGACACTTGTAATTACGTACTGGAAGGTTATGGCGGGTAAATGGAGCGTGAATAGAAGTAGTTCATGCGGCGGTGTGGAAATATTAAAATGAGCGCCAAACAGGTTTTATTTGGTATGGATATCTTACAGCTTCTGACTTCATTGATATTACTATTATTGCATAATAATTGCTATTTAAATGAATTGTCTAGTATGGTTAGTTTAAGTAACATTTAATTCACACCTGATATTTATACAATGACTGCTATAACTGATGACTCTATTATTATATAATAACTCATACATAATTGGTACAGCCAAATGACTATTGTCCTACTTAAATGGTAGTGCTGGTATGATAATTATAATAGAATTATTATTAATAAATAACTACAACTTAAGTAATAGTATTAGTATTATTAATTCAATGAATATTTTGACGAATAACAATTATTAATATTACAACGTATTACTATGTAATAGTAACTATTATTTAGCAGGTATAATAGAATGTTTAAACACTATTATTTAACAGTAACTGTTAACTGGAAATGTATGTTTGAATCCATGAAAGAAAATGAAGACATTGAACGTTCCTTTCCGCCATTTGTCGAAAAGTAACGACAAGAGTAGAATTTCTAGATTTGAGAGGAGTTAGCTAAACTACTATGGCATCCTCTCCAGTTCTAATTAGTTCGTCGGCTGCATAACTGTAGCTTAGTATCGCGTACACATTTCGCTTGTGCATTGTCTACAAACTCCATATTGAAGGCCGTGGGAGACTTTAAGCTAGTTTACGACCTTGGTTGCCGCTAGATGAGGTAGTCGTTCCAATGTACGTGAAAATTATGTGAACGCGCATTTACTTTACTCGCTGCGAGTATTAAACTCATGGTTCCGTGAATAATTACGTTAATTGCAAAGATACCGCGCCACAGGACGATGGAAGAAATGACAATTTCTCTTTAATCTACGATTGTTTCCTGTCCCGACTGATGTTAAATAACAGTGCAATCTAAGGTATATATCTCTGACTGAAATGAAAGTTACTTCGGTTGTATTGCTATATACAGAAATTATATAAAAATAGGAAATACTGGATATTAAAATTAAATTCGGTTATATGTGTTTTTGTTAGAGGTTTATATGTGTGATATAGGTTCGTGTCGTATGGCCTTTAGAAACTGTATAAATGGAAGAAATTGTAAAATGGTATAATAAGAGGATTTTTTCAATGTATATCCATATTACGTTCACTATATATCCACATTAATGCTTAATCAAATAAATTAATCAGCTCTATTCATTCATCTATAATTCATATAAAGAAATATGTACTTTGAAATGACCTCATTACTGAATAAATACTAAGTGTATGTAGCTACTATTATTAAATTATTTTTACTTAATCAGCAGGTATATAAATATCTAAATTTCTGGATAAATAAGAAATTTAAAAGTGAAATTATCATACAATATTAAATAATAAATATTGTAGTGATTATACAAGAACCTGAAAACTGTATTTCAGATTGAAGGATTAACTTCATAAATTGTTTAAAAGTTATTATTTTGTAAAAATAATGTTATTGAAAAATGTATGTAATGGGGTTGTGACTCTGTAGAATGACATAATTTACAAAAATAAATGTTACGGAAGATGTTCTTCGTCTTCATTGTCGAGAACATTGGAGCAGAAAAACAGTTGTGACCTTTTTGTAGTAGTAGTCATTCACTACGTCCGTATTACACCATAATAACCAATTTGTGTCTTTTTCGTGAGGAATATTGGATACAGGACAAGAAACCTAGTTATTACCATTAAAAAGCCATTCTGGGAAGTTTCAAATGGCACAATGACCGAGATACAAGGTTAACATAATATGCACTTTCTCTCAAGTGCAACTACGAGAAGTGCACTCCGAGAATGCACTGAAATAAATAAACAGTAACAATAAACCTTGTGTTGGATTTCTTCAAAAATAGTAGGGAATGTCATATACTTTAGATATCTCACCTTGCAAGAGTATTTATTGCAACGAAATAAAATGCGAAGTAAATAAAATCAATAAAATCAAGTCAAAATTTCATAAAAAAATGAAGGAATGTAGTTAATGTAAATTAAAATTTATTTTTATTTTCCAAAAGATGTATTACATAAACATATTCTTAAATAAAGATTTAAAGGTAAATACTAAAGTTTTGAAACAACTGCAAGTTAATTTTGATTCAACTTAATATTTAAATTTCTATAAGTCTTGACTTTCTTTCATTTAATACACTCTTTTATTTATTTGCAAATTTACAACAACGTTTTCATCATTATTCTTATCTTATCGTTTTTGTATTAGTCTTAAATTTCAATCAACTCATAATTGTCAATAAATTATTCATTTAAAATTATGTGATTTTAGTTGTGTTCTTAAAAATGAATTTTTATTGTTTTTTTTTTAATTTTACTTAATTATATGTATATTGTGTCTAATAGCATATAATAATTGATGTGAAATAATAAATAAATTATACGATAAAAATATATTATCTCAAACGACAACAGCTATTTATAATAATTATCAGATACAATTATAATTACTAAAAGACATAATTTGCTTTTAAAAACGTCTTTCACTTGTCCAACAACAGTTCTTATTTATCTGCAAAAACTAAAACACTCAATTTGTGAAAAATATTACTCCTAATTATACTTAAAGGAAAATGGAGATATTTGACGTTCGACTCTTCTGTAATTACTTTCGAGACATCAAACCTTAATTACTTTCATTGCTTGATCGTTCTTGTATATACGCTGAATTATTTTAATGTCGTTGCTTTCTATACTTTCAAGTTTAATTGAACGGCAAATATAATCACTTTCATCGAGTTTGAGTATTTTTATAATGTTGATGTGACTAAGTCTCGATGTTAAGTGTAATACGATCCACCATTAATCAAATAGCTGAAAAGTTTTAACTTTCACGTTTCGTGATAGAAATGTTTTCATTTCACTTCTCTTTTTATATTTCTGTTCGGAGAATTTGAACAACTTATTTGGAGGTTATTTGAAAAGTCCTGGGTTTTATTGAAAATTTATTGAAAAATTATTTAATGAACTTGGTTTAGTAATTTTGTATTTCATTTCATGTTTAACGCTATTAAGAAAAAATTGGGTAATTATACGTCGCGTTCAACGTGATTGATTAACAGTAAAATCTAGACATACATAAATGAATGACAAATAAATTAGAGTATTAATCACTTCTGGTCTGAATAACAATTAGGGAATATACATACAGTAAAATAGAAAAATATTAGCACACTGAAGTTTCAGTAATAATTATAATTGAAGAAATAAATAAATGTTATACAATACATATATGCACTATTGTTGAACAAGTAGTATAACATAATAAAATAAGATATATATTTTAGATATTATAATATATTCGAAATAATAATTTCATACAATAAAAATTAAATAAAAATTTCAAACTTAGAAATTTTCCAAAGTGAAAATTATACATATTAAAACATTCTAAACTAAATTTTTCAATATTAAAATTATATAAGACAAATTTTAAATATTAAAAATTGTAATGATTATCTAACCCATCTTAACAATTTTTATCTCCTTAAGAAAATATAACAAAAGCACTTCAAATCATACTTTGAAAATTTTAACATCAATGTACATTTTAAAGCTGAAAATTTTGACCTTAGTTATCCACAGTATTTTCGTATTATAAACAAATTAATAATTTCGTTAAGCTTCTATAAAAAACTTAAAATTTGCTTGGATGTTCTAATAAGAGTAGTATCCGTACGTTAATGAAAAGTGTTTACGTGATAAGTAGAAAGGTGTCAGTAGAAAGGGAGAGTAATTTCCCCTAGATTAATAGCACCGGAACAACCAATTAAGAACAAGGAACGCCAAATCGATTCTTGTCAGAGTCCGATAAGAAGCTACTAGCTATTTAATCTGTGCTCTAAAACGCTTCTCAAATTTTACTATTTTTATTAAATTAACAATTTACAAAATTTATTTTTAATTCTCAAACAAAATAATTTAATAAAATTACTAAAATAATACACTTTAAGAAAATGCAGAGTTACATTTTTATTTTAACTAAATATAAAAAGAAATTCCATTTATTTTAAACAAACGTATGTGCAACATATGTTACATTTTATATCAGTAGTATAAAATTCGAAAAAAATTCAGTTTCAAAAGAAATGTTTAGTTGAATGAAAAATATTAATAGAAGATCGATGTTGAATTGATTTGTACAAAATTCTGCCAACTAAATCACATCATAATTTTTTCATAAAAACATCATTCAAAGAATTCCTAACATTTCATTTTTCTAACAATAATCTTTTAAATGATAAACTGTTTCATAACTTATAAAATACTTTGCTAGAAATAGCCTTTCAATTTTACTCTTCAAAAATAGCCTTCCAACTGTTTCATCCTACTTCACTTTTACTTTTCAAAAATGACCTTCCAACTACATTCTACTACGTTTTCATTTTACTTTTCAAAGACAGACTTTCGACTCTAGTATTCTACTTCCTTTTAATTCAACTGTTCAAAGGCCTTTCAAGTATATCCTACTTCACAATCGGACACCTTTTACAACAAAACCGTCGAAACTCGATAAATTAACCGAATAGAACACACTCGCACTAAAATTTAAAGGCAGCATGCGGGTTAAACTCGTGAAAGGTTAACAGTCCAGCATATCCGGTCATCGACATTCATCGTCGTCGCAAGTTTTCGCGAAACTCTTTCCGATAAAATAGCATCCATCCGGTGAGTTGCAAGAAAAGATCCCTTGGCGCAATCACAGATCACGTTAATACACCTCGAGTAGATTAATCGAATACGAAAGAACCTCGTGACAGACACTGAGTCGAGCGCACTGACCATAAAAGGCAAATCACTGTATAAAAATCACCGATCACCTACCTTGTTTCCGATCATGCTGCACCCACGTAAATAATTGTCCACACTGTACACTGATCAAACGACACTATGCGTTTCCTCTCTTCACTGGATCCTCACGAACGATATTCGATCGTTGCTATCTTAATCGAGCACATCGTCGCACGTCATCCTGACGGTTTTACGAACAGCCACCAGACTCTGTCACTATCAACACAAAAAATGCACGTTCAGGTACGAACAGTCCACTTATATAGACTCCGAGAGGGGTACCGGTCGAAGGAATTCTCGGTTGAGTTTGCCTGAGTAAATCGAGGAAACGACAGACAAGAGGAGAGAGAGAGCCGGGAGAGACGGTTAAGAGAGGAGGGAGAGACGGTACCCTCGCACGACGAGTTAAAAATTCTCTTTGCAGAGAAAGTAGGCTAGCCCTGTCTCTGACTCGGCGAAGAAAGATGCGCTACTCGGAAGTATTCGACCATTCATATTTATCGATCCTCTGAACAGGATGTATTTTATTTTTAGTTTGGCTGGTAGGTGGATGGACCATGGTATTGATGGTTGGAGGTGACAGATCTGATTAATCAATAACTTGAGAGTGGTAGTTACAGCTTTTTTTTGGAGAATAGTGGTGATTTCGCAGTGTCTGATAATACTATTAATTTTGACTGATTGATTTATCGTATTGGTACTTATTGATTGATTCATCATATTGATATTGATTGATTGATTTATCATATAGGTATTGATTGATTGATTGATCATATTGATATTATCTAAATGATTTATTATATTGGTACTGATTAATTGATCGACTTATCATATTGGTATTGTTTGATTGATTTATCATATTGGTGCTGATTGATTGATTGACCATATTGATATTGACTATTTGATTTATCAGATTGTGACTGATTAATTGATTAGTCATATTGATGTTGGTTGAACGATTTATCATATTGTACTGATTGATTGATTGATCCTATTGATATTGACTGATTGATTTATCATATTGGTGCTGATTGATTGATTGGTCACATTGATATTGACTATTTGATTTATTACATTCTGACTGATTGATTAATTTATCATATTGGTACTGATTGGTTGATTGACCATATTGATATTGACTATTTGATTTATTATATTGTGACTTATTGATTGATTTATCAAATTGGTACTGATTGGTTGATTGACCATATTGATATTGACTATTTGATTTATCATATTGTGACTGATTAATTGATTAGTCATATTGATGTTGGTTGATCAATTTATCATATTGTACTGATTGATTGATTGATCCTATTGATATTGGCTGATTGATTTATCATATTGATACTGATTAATTGATTGACCATATTGATATTGACTATTTGATTTATTATATTGTGACTGATTAATTGATTGATCATATTGATGTTGATCGATTGATATATCATATTGTACTAATTGATTGGTTGTTCCTATTGATATTGATTGACTGAATTATCATATTGATATCGATTGATTTATTTATTATATTCTTATTGACTGATTGATTGATCATATTAATATTAACATGATTATATTAATAAATGTTAACTTCATAAAATTCTCCAAGCATAAGTTCGTCAAATACTTAAATTTTCAAATGTGACCCACGTTACAAACTGAATAAAGAACTCTTATCAAATACATTAAACGCATGAATAAATAATTCGAGCACAGCATGTTGCTTCTCTAACGATAAAAGATAATTATATCAAATGTAGCTTATCAAATGAACGACGTGAAAATGTTCAAAGTCTGACAGGATCAAACGATAAAGAAAAAACATTGTAAAGTAACATTCATGTCGTTTTATTTTGGACCCTTTGGATACGGCCGGTGTACATTTCATCGCTCGCCATCAATTAAAAGTGTCACAGTGATAACGGTCTACCAAGTTACCAAGCTATCTGAAATCTCGCTGAAACAGTTAATTATCGTACAACAGTAATGTAATTCTCAGTTAACGAGTGAGCACAATGAAATAGAAACGCGACCTGTTTCACAGCTTAGCTGAGAGGAAATCGTCATTTCGCGTGTCAAAATGATGCTCTGTGTAACCTTTCCACAAAATGGAGGATCTTTCTTTTAGTTCGCACTTTTGCCTAACTGTTATGAGAAAACGCTGAATTGATTTGTAAAAGCTTTCCAACTACTTTCCAAATTTCCAAATTTCCAAATTCTCAAATTTCTAAATGTTCAAATTTCCAATTTCCATACATTCCAAATTTCCAAATTTCCCACTTCCCAAATTTTCAAATTTCTAAATTTCCAAATTCTCAAATTTCTAAATTTCCAAGTTCTTAAATTTCTAAATGTTCAAATTTCCAATTTCCATACATTCCAAATTTCCAAATTTCCCACTTCCCAGATTTCCAAATTTCCAAATTTCCAAATTTCCAATTTTTCAATTCTATTATCAACAGAAAAATCCTAAACTTCCATCAATCCATAATAACCGTGACTCAAGTCCACAAACGCTTTCAAATTAAATTGTCAGAAAAGTGATTTAAAATAATCAATGATAGTTGAAATATAATTACCACCACAAGGTATATGACTTCATCGCTAAATGTCAACATATACCAACGAGAAATTTCAAGGAAAACAAACACTGAATTTCGTAATTAAGAAACATGAGCTCGCAATAAAAATTCTATTTTTATGATGAACATTTCAAATTTACAATATTGTTAATCGAAGGCTACACGTATAATTCGAATCGTGGATTTTAACAACGTGTAACGAAAATTCAACATCCTCGGCACTTCCTTTTGAGTTATAACAGACATCCACTTCTGGTTCGCGTATGTACATACATACAGGAGTTCCTACAAATTACAAGTAAGATACATGTTCCTTCCCTTAATTAACAAAACGGTTGAATACATACAGACATTTCGGGTAGATCCCTTTAGATGTTGCCTTAGCTGCTGGGTACAAGATTCTGTCTCAAATATCTTCAGACGGAATTTGGAATATTAGTGAATCAATTGCACCGCTGTTATTTTGGAGCAAATCACGTAACGTTAATTATAAACGAAGTGTAAAATAATCAGACGAATATTGTTCTGTTCGTTAGTTTTGATTTCTGGTGTAATTGTAAGATGGGAATTATGAGGGAGTGTTGAATTCTGAAATTTTTTACTTTTTTCGATTTTTGAAATTTCAGGATTCTGATTTGTGGAAATCTAAATTTGTAAATTTTGCAATTTTTATATTATTTTAATGGAAAATTAAAAAATTTATGAATTTGGAAATTTTAGAGTTTCTAAGTTCCTAAATTTCCAAATTTTTAGATTTCCAGATTTCTAGACATTTACATTTCTAAATTTCTTGATTTCTAAATTTCTAAATTTACAAATTTCATTTCTACATTTTTACATTGGTAAATTTCTAAATTCCTAAATTTCTATATTTCTATATCTGGAAATTCCAAATTTTCAAATTTTCAAATTTCCAAATTTCCAAATTTCCCAATTTCCAAATTCTCAAATTCTCAAATTCTCAAATTCTCAAATTTCCAAATACCCTAATTCCCAAATTCCCTAGCTCCAAAATTCCCTCTTTCCCAAATTCCCTAGCTCCAAAATTCCCTAATTCCCAAATTCCCTAATTCCCTAATTCCCTAATTCCCTATTTCCCAAATTTCCTATTTCCCAAATTCCCTAGTTCTGAAATTCTCTAGTTCCAAAATTCTCTAGTTCCAAACTTCCCTAGCTCCAAAATTCCCTAATTCTCAAATTCCCTAATTCCCTAATTCCCTAATTCCCTAATTCCCTAATTCCCTATTTCCCAAATTCCCTATTTCCAAAATTCCCTAGTTCTAAAATTCCCTATTTCCCAAATTCCCTAGCTCTAAAATTCCCTAGTTCCAAAATTCCCAAATTTACAAATTTACAAATTCTTAAATACCTAAATATTTAAATCCTCAAATTCCCAAATAAGTAATTCCATAAAAAATTCCCTAGTTCTAAAATTCCCTATTTCCCAAATTCCCTAGCTCTAAAATTCCCTAGTTCCAAAATTCCCAAATTTACAAATTTACAAATTCTTAAATACCTAAATATTTAAATCCTCAAATTCCCAAATAAGTAATTCCATAAATCCCTAAATCCTCAAATCCCCAAATAAATAAATCCCTAAATGCTCAAGTTCCTAAATTCCTAAATATCTAAATCCCTATATCACTAAATCTATATATCCTCAAATTCCCAAATTCCCAAATCCCAAAATTCCAAAATCCCCAGGTCCTCAAATCTCCAAAACTTATTAACATGATTTTCTAAAAACCTCCGCCACTTTTCCTCCAAATCATCAAAATATGAAATTCCCCACAAAGTATACAAACTATATCAATATTCCACTCTAACAATTTTACAGCAAATTTTCAAATAGAAGAACGAAGTTGCATTAATCCAGAAATCCCGTTCACTGCGTGCACGTTTTAAAGACATACCCTGTACGTGCGTTGGAAAAAAGAGTGGAAGCGTAGTTTCCGGAACACGTGCATGCAAGATGAAACGGTACATGTATGTATCTGCGCAGCTCCATTGAGGTCCATTACGTTGGCATCAATAATTCAGGTTAAAAGTGCCGGTCCCTCATGGTTTCCTTTTGCTTGCTCGTCCACCATCATATATCGGATGCAGAAGGTTCAAAATAACAAAATAGCGACAAACAAGATTGTGTCGACACCGGAAGTCATTGCAGTATGCAAACACGCCGAAGGAGACCGGTCGCCGACACGTGCTTGAATTAATTGTTTGACTCTCGCGTGATTTTTCGAACGATGTGCTTTTGTTTATGCTACTTTCTCCGTTTCTCTTGTTTTCTTTTTGTTCTTCAATTTCGGAGTTTCAGTTAAATTATGGTTTATTAATTTTTGAAAGTAAATTATCAAACTCTAAATTTTCAAATACCCAAATTTCTTCATTTTCAGCGCCTAAATTTTTAGTACTCTAAATTTCTAAGTTTTCGATTTTCTAACATTTGAATATCCAAATTTTCAAATTCACAAGTTGCTGGCTTTTCTGTTCTTATATTTTCAAGACCCTAAATTTCCAAATTACCAAATTTCCAAATTTCCAAATTCCCAAAATTCTAAATTACCAAATTACCAAATTTCCAAATTCCCATAATCCTAAATTACCAAA